TCTTTATATATATATATATAAAGAATACGTAATTGCCTATCGTATATGTAATCGTCTCATCTAATGATTACATCATTTTGTTACCTAAGGGCAAGTCCTTCCCACAGAAAACACACCAGGTTGACAAGAGACAAAAGTTCAAGAGACGAGTGAGAGAGGCTACAAGCTTCACAGACATGGCGGCGCATCTCGAGGAAATGATCACATGGTGTCAATCCCAGAAGCTGGAGAAGGAGAAACGTCTTTTAACTTTCCTGCTGTTAAAGTGCCAACGGCTGAAATGCCAAGAGGCAGCAGGTTACAAGTAAGAGCAACACGGGAAGAATGTTGGTCAGTGGCCACTTTATTAGGTACGGCTGTGCAATCTAATGCAATTCAATAATTTGTTAAACAATGTTGCCCCTAATTATCAAAATGACTGGGGCAGAATAATAAAACCCGTCAGAATATAATGTAGTCCAGTACAACACCACCACTGACTATTACCTAGACAATTTATTATTATTATTATTATTATTATTATTATTATTATTATTATTATTAAAAGCCACATAAATTAGGACCTTTTGGCAGAACAGTTGTGTTGGATTGCATTAGACTGTACAGCTGTACCGTATACGGTAGCTACTATGTGTTCAGGAAAAGTACATACTTAAGTATTCTGTGACATTGGGTTCTGCAAATACTGATTGCTCCTATTTCTGTAATTCGTCCTCATCCCCAGCGTCCAGAGGAGGTTGCGGACCTTCAGACAGGAAGCCTGCTGGGCTTCATCTCCTCAGGGGTCAGTGCCAAGAGCCTGTCGGTCTTCTGCTCGCCTGAGAACTCGCTTTCAGTCCCTCAGGAGTCGATTTAAGTTTTCAACACTGAGAACTGGTGTGAAAAAGAAACGGGTGAAGAGGACTGAGTCATCGGTGTCTGGACTGTCAGGGGACGACCAAATAGACAGGAGTGCATGCGAGGCGACATCCCAGACCGCCAGCTGTGACGGCCTTGATGACATAGATGATATATTTGCCTCTGTAGGTTTGTGACACTTTGGAATAGACACCTCCAAGGAAACAAATGACATAGCTCACTATATGACACATGCAGCTGTTATGAAAGGAAAGGGGGAATTCGATGTGTAGAGAAAACTGATGAATGTATGAAGTGCTAAACAGTAGCAGTCTCTTTATCGCAGAAAGAGAGGTGTGGATTTTTTTAATAGGTAAAAAGGTAGATTCAACTTGTTTGGTCTAATAGTGACTGAATAATAAGGTATTTAAATATTTTGAATGGAGAAACTTCAGAGCAGGCAAATCATCCAAAAACATCTGCCGCTCCTGTCGATTGTCTTTTGTCTCTGAAGGACCAGAGTGTTGAATGCTTTCGTCACAGATAAAACCTTCATAGCAGTCGTTTCAATTGAAATATTTTGAAGCGTGTCTGCTGCAACAAATGTGAACACAAATATTCAAAGGTTGCGCTTGAAATCCTTCGACTGTAAAATCCCATAAGCAAGAAGGTTGATTTTCCTTCTTTTTGTTTTCTTTTTTTTTTTTTAACACTGCATATACGCTGTGCAAAGAAGTAGCTTTTTTTCTTCTTGTCACATTTATACAATGTCAATAAAAATGCTAATCTTTGAGACACCATTAACTATACCACAACTAATCCACATTTGTGAGGTGTACATTGCAAATGTAACTGATTCAAAGAGAAATACCAGAGTCTGACCTGAATCGTTATTTAAACTTTTATAGATGTATCTGTGGACTGTGGAAGTTCTTTATGATACAATGTAATGGACTTGGGTTGTACCTGAGCACTGAAGCCACCGTTTATTGGTACTAAACACCAAATGAGGCTTTAGTCCCTTTCAGACATGCATACGGTGAACAGTACTAGAGGAGCTGTTAAGTGCACATCTTGTTCCACCCTCTGAAGACAACACTGCAGTATAATAACACGCATGTCTTATGCCCAACACAATAAAACCAGTTTAATGAACCATGCAATACTGGAAATGCTTATTTTAGGCAGTGAAAGCCGTGCATGTTACAGATCCCATATCAAAAAGGCTTTTCGAAAACACTCATGGTATTTCTGGCTCCACCTGGTGGAGTTGATAAATGAATGCATTCAATGATCGGCTCCACCTGGTGGAGTTGATAAATGAATGCATTCAATGATGAGTTCCAGGCTGTTGATTGTTCTCAGAGAATATGAGATTAATCCCTCATCCTTGGTAATCGTGAAGCAGATGTGTCGCTCTTCTCCTTTGAATTGAGTGTGTGCTGGAGACTGAGTGCTGATAGGAACGGAGAACACACTGGCAGTGGTGTGTATTAGTAGGCAGGGTGGCCGAGCTCTAGGCCTTTGCAGTCAAGTATAAGAACTATGCAGGTGCCACCACATCCAAAACGTGCAGGTGTCTGGCAGTCCACAGCGACCGGGATTGTTCAGGAGTGGAGGCTCTGCACCAAATTAGAAGCTACAGGGTTAGTTTTGCTGCAGCCCGTGTGTTTTTTACTGTGCCAAATGCTGTCAGTATCCAGAATTGTACACTTTTATAGGCATAAAGGGGGATACACATGCCGGCAAAACCTTTTGAACACTTAATTTAGCAGCTATAATCTCCAACAAAATAATAATAATGAAAATAATCAATTTTTCTTGCAAATCTTCTTCTTAGTAGAAATGAAAGCACTCCTGTATGAATTAATCTACAAAAACGATGCAGCAGAGGTGAGTGCCTTGTTGGAAGATTTACTAAAATATATACTGAGGATATTATTTTTCATGCAATGCAAAAAGACTGACTTTGACCTTGCTACTTTTAATTAAGAAATACAAAATAAAGTAAATTCAATAACATGCAGTGACAGCAATTAAGAGACGTGTCAGTGGTGCATTCTTCATCGACTGTACATAACGTCACCAACATGCCTGCAGAGTTTGGCTTTGTTTAACTCTGAACAGACTGTGGGCTGTTGAGCTGATTAAGAAGTGTCTACATTTACAGACCTTACCTCAGCCGCTGGTAAACTGATAGGATGCGTAGGGAGAGGCCACAATTTGTTGCCAGTAAGCAGTAATGAAACGTAAAATGCTGACTGTAACTGTCAGTAATTACAACGAACATCTCTACTAAAAATATTCAGCTGTACAGGTAATAAAAACTCTTATCTAGTTGCAGAATTGGCAGACCAATTTCAGCAATAGCTTCACTGTGGTCAATGTCTTTTTTCAGCTGTACACCCTACAGCCCGCATCATTATCTGGCTGGGGCAGCAAGTCTTCAGCACCGTCTGCTGCCACAGCTTAAAGAGTAGGGAGACCATAGACTGTCTGTCTACGTCTGTCAGCCAAGAGGTATTTAATAGCTTGTCATTGTAAATAGATGGTTCCACATGGCCAGGTTTAGTGCTGGAATTGTGCATATTTCTGTTGAAATGGATGGTTCTCCAGGGATTCTGTGGAAAGCATCAGTTAGGGCCTGTGGGCATATTATGACCTAAAACAGGAGAAGGAATATACAGGGCTGCACCCTCCAATATGCTGCTCTGCAATTTATTTTCCTCTCACCTTAATAGCAGAAGGGGAATAGAGCGCCCAAATGTTCCAGGTCTCAGCTTATGAATGGCTTGGCATTAAGGAATGCTCAACATTTATGCTCAGAGGTGTACAAAGTCAATCACATTATCTCCACAGAGACCGACCTAGTGCATCAAGCTCCATTACTCAACCTGGTCTCCAATATATCAATGATAAAGCATACATTTGGACCAAGGCCATGAATAAAGTGAAAACTAGTACAGGAAACATGTAAGCTCGAAATTCTCATTAAGGCCAGAGGGGTACACTGAATATAAATGGTGTAGCCGATAGCCCTACAATAAGTGTACCCTTTACTATAGGGGCTTTCAATCCCAGTGCAATATATATAGAACATACATTCTGTAATAACATGTTAAATCAAGAGTATGGCTTCTGTTTTTTTTGTCTGTGTCCAAGAATATAGATGTGAGAAAAACCTTCAGAGCATGAACTGCTCCTTCATCAGTGCCGTATACTTAGAGGGCTGAGACCTGCAACATACTGTATGTGTGTGCTCTATTCCCCCGCTGCAATCAAGATGGAAATAAAATAAAACGTGCACACCTTTTTATTCTTTTTCATGTTTGAGGCCAATGTCTCCGAACCTGGGCTCATAAAGTCTTTCGGGAGAGCAAAGTGACGAGCTTTTAATCAACTAAAAAAGCCCCCAGTTGTACCATAACCATCCTTCCATTTACTTTATATACTCACTTATTCTTCTCAATGGTCATAGAGGACACCATTCGTGCATTGCAATAAAAAAGATTGCATTGCCTGTACCGTTACTCATTGTAGACTATAACAGCGTCGCTAAGCTCCATTTTAAGCATGCATTTCAATCGGACGTCATATACGTGTCTTTGGCTTCTTAGTTTTCTGAACTGAAAACCTAACCATTTGCAAATAAATAAGGATATAATTGTATTGTCAAAAAGTCAAACCATTAGTTTTGTATTCAGCCACTTCAAATTTCTTATATATACCATCACAACTAACCACCAACCACCAACTGTGATACTGTGTTTTGAAAATGTGGCTGTATATTGTACCATGCTTGTCTATGCATTTATAGATTTCCATTCATTTCTATACGAAAATCTGCAATCTGCAGCAATTTTGATAAGTAATTGTTGATGTACCTTCTCAAATATGAACATTTCTTAGATTTATATCATATCAATGAATATCTAAAATTTGAAAATGTCACCGTGGCACTGGGAACCCGTGATGGGTAAGTTCTCCCAATTTAAAAGACTAATTAGTTAATCAATCAGGAAAGTAATAAGTTGATTAATTGATGGTAAAAAAAGAAAAAAGTAGCCCTCATCTTTGTAATCCATCATAATAAACGGCTATAATTATTCAAAAGTTGCAATGGGCAATGGCTGCCGGAAACAGTAAACCCATTTTAAAAATGTAAAACTATATAAAAATGGTCAGCAAAATGATTGAGGATATTCAATTTGTAATTAAGAGCTATAACAAACACATGTGGTGCCACACAGATGTTCCTGTGTGTGGATTTATCGACATTACAATTTATTCTTCTTTTTTTTAAAGTAATTAGTTGCATTGAACGGGTCAAATGTGACAAGCTCAATTACACTTTATTTGCTTTTAGCGAAAATCTAAACAAACGACGTTAGACTTGACGAGAGGCGATGATGACGTTACTTCCTGTTATCTATAGTTTGTACTTCCGGAAGGTGGGGCTTTTGTTGCAGGAGCGGTTAGCTTTTGGAGAACCAATGTCCCGACAGGCTCTATTAATGCAGTCATCAAGATAACATTAACCGAGGGCAGAAATACAAAACTCCTGCGTTGGTAAGTGTTCATACATGTCTTAATGGAGTCGAATGAATGGATGTTTCTACACGGCCGTTATAGAGTAACAAAGTACCACACCTGTTTTAAGCAATGGACCTAACGTTAGAGGGGTGACCGCTTAATATAACGATGATGCGTTCAGATTAACTCTTACTTTGTATCGGTTTTAACTAACTGTTAACAAGTTTCAGTGTCAGCTTTAGTGTTGTAGTTTGCGTGTAATGCATGCCTTGGTTAGTGGGTACAACATAATGCTAACATTAATCATCGCTGGTAAATTATCTTTAGGTTAGCTAGCGTCAATGTTTAGCGTTACTAATGTGAACGTTTGCTTTAATTTGCTGGCACTAGTTCAATTTTCTTTATTTCTGGATGAATGAAAAGAGCATGCATGTTTTTATATGTTGGCATTCATTCCACGTGATGTAGGGCTGCGGTAGTAAAAACGGTAGTCTTACTACTAAAGTCCGTGTTTATGAGTTTGTGTTGATGTCAGTTGCTGTTACTAGCGTTAGCTTATAAAGCTATTGTAAACTACGCTAGCGTGAAGTCACATTAGCATTCGCGTTTGATATCTATCTATCTATCTATCTATCTATCTATCTGTTAGGTGTTGTTGGGGGTTTTAGTGAAGCTAATAGTATGCTTTATTAGCTCTAGGTAAAATGAACAAACCGTTTTAATTATATTCCCGTTGATAATTAACGTTACGCCAACGGTATTTCCTGAAAAGTCACCTCCCCCTGAGAACATGACACACCCAAGGCTGGCTCATGGTTTCTTCACTTAACGTTATTCCCTGTCAGCAACTGCAGTGTGGCACAGTAGTTCTTGTTATGTATCTGATAATAATCCAGTTATTGTCACATATGATTTCCTCTATGATCAGTCTGCTCAATGAAATTAGTTAATAATCTTATTTTCTAGTGGACCCATTGACACACAGTGAAGGAGGACATCTGTTGCTCATTTAAAATCTGCTAAAAACGTGGTCACTTGTGGCTAAATACAAACAGGTCAAACTAGTAGAGTTTTAAGGTAGAGGCAAACTAGTTTAGTGCAAGAAGGGGATGCTCGTGTTTACTGATGCAGTTTCAACACTTATCAAACCTTTTTTTGTTTGCAGACAGGTCGAGGAGATTCGGATAGGATAGTGTTGACAAAGCAATACACGGTTGCTCCATCTCATTAATAATACTTCGTTTTGGTATCAGGGGAAAGTGACAAATGCAATTCATCATCCAGATTAATGTGTCTCAAGGGTCATTAAGGCCTAGTTTAAAAACCTAAAATCTTTAACCGCCTACTTGATCATCTTTTCTACTTAATCCTCTTTGCTGGATAAGTCCAGGATTTTGTGGTCCGCAGATGCACGAGGGATGTGCTCCACTCCGGATTTGTCTGGTTATTTATTCGATACGTGCAGTGAAAGAGTTATTGATCACTCGGTCAATGCTGGTTTGCTTTTATCAGAGGACTGTATGTTACACCCCTGAGGCAATATTATCCATACCCAGAGTCAGGTTGTCGTTAACATATTTCACAGAACTGAGACATTAGCTTTGGTGAATGTGGCACAAGGC